TGAAAATGGCCCCCAAAGGCCTGAAAACGGCAGAAAATGACCCCAAAACCAGGTGGGGGCAGGTGTGGGGCCAGCTGGTGGTCTGTTTTGCCAGTTCTCCCAACCACGCAGAATCGGAACAACTGGTTCAGGCGAACTGGTCCAGGCGAACCAGTCCAAACTGGCAGCAGCCCACCTCTGGAATAAGTGCCAAAACTGATATTTTGGCACAGTTGGCTACCTTCTGTGAGCCAGTGTTTCTAAACCTTTTCCAGATTTAAAAAAGATACTTCAACTGGATATTATAGGAAAATTAATACCCATAACTCTACTTCATGTCAATGTTAGTAACTACTTGCTTCAAAATGACATCACATGATATCAAGGAATATGACAACTGAAAAGATGCACTTTGTGTTTATATATATATATTTCTCAGCCTAAAGAACAAGCAATCAATACATTATTGATTTTATATACCCACTTCCATATATTATAATGGAGTTTAGGGGCCATGTTTACTGGAGAATACTCAGAATACCTAACTTAAGTGCTCAAAGCATTTGGATTTAAATACACCAGAACACCCTACATGTTGAGAAGTTAAAATATGCTAAAGTTACTATAATTTATGTACTGCATGATATTATAATTTCCTAAAATAAACATTAAATAGCAGTAGTGCCTATTTGTTGATTTGGAAAATCAAACTCCAGTACTGGAAGCCTTATTGTGGCTTCATTTCTATCTTCCTCTTGAAGTTATTACTGGAGCTGCTGCTGTTTCTTCTGAGTTTCTCAGCACTCAGGCTGCTGCTAGAAGCCACAGCTCATACAACAGAAGAAGGATGTGATGGCAATCTCCTTCTCTCTCTCTCCTCTCTCTGAGAGTGAGAATTGTAATAGTATATATGGGAATGATCTTGGGAGACAGGAGTAAGAATCTCAGACTAGTCATAAATGAAATTTGAGCCCAAAGGGAGAGGAGTGGCAGAAGGGACCCTCCCTAGTTTTGGAGAAAGTAAAAAGTGAGGGACAGGAGGGCTACTTTGCGATATACAAAGGAAGAGCTGGTATTCTTGGATGTGCTTCTCATCTGGACTACCTTGCAAGGCTGACAGTCTTGCTTCTAGCTTTTGACTCAATCAGAGCTTCTAGCTTTTGACTCACACTCCAGAAGCCTTTCTCAGCTGACTTGACCAAGTAACTTCCCCTAGGTGGACCCAAGAAGAAGAAATTGTGATATTTGCCTGCCTTTATATTCACAATCCCTATTCAACCCTTGCCACTGAAAGCCTTCAAGCTTTCTTGAAGATAAAGCTTGCAAACAAGGTGCTGGGAAGAAAGGAAGACCATGCCAACTGTTGCAGGTGGGATGGGGTAAACAGATTAAAGGTATATAAATTCAGAAAATGAATGGGAGGCCACATGTGGCTTCCAAGAGTAGGGCTAGGACTGAAATCCCTAGCATAATCACCATTTGGGAATAATTTTTGACAAGTTTTCTCTAAAATCTCCATATACAAAAATTCTTTGTCTTAGATGTAATTCACACTTTCTCCATTAAGATTCCAAGAATGAAACTGATCCAACTAGAGACTGGATTGTATCTTAACATTTTAATCATTTACCAATCTACATCACAATTTATTTCATTATTTTAATTATCTTAGTCAAAATAGCAACAATGAAATTTCCTAACAATTTTTATGCTTGAACTCATTCCTGTAACTACAAAAGCCATTTTCTTATTACAGAAAAGATCTGATTCTCTTTTTTTGATAACAACTGAAATAATCTATGTTTAACACCCCCAATTGACTCCATTTGTGTTTTCAAATTAACTGCACTGCACAAGTCCAAACATAAAAGTTCCATAATATTAAATTGAAAAATATTAAAGTTTAGCAAATGTTAATATGTGCATCACTTAAGCCCTTTGTCCTGATATCCATGTTTGGCTTTGGAGAACAATTGTCAGTATTGCCTATGCCAGCAGATGGCACACGCTCTAGGCATATTAACTATTTTATTATCATTAAAAATTCAACTTGTTTATTGTAAAGAGGCAGGATGAAACTATCTACATGATAATGTCTGAAATAAAAAACTGAAAACTCCTTATTAGATGAAATATATTAATTCATAATCCTCTCAGATAATCAGTACAACAGTAACATTCCTGTTTCTAAAAATGAATGTTGCCACTCTCATGTGAAAAACAAAAGCAAAACATGAAACCATTCTTACATGATAACAATTACTGAGACTCCATCCAAATCATACAAGTACCTTTAAAAGACTTAGTAAATCTCTTTCAGTGAAACTAATATATTTAAAGGTCACTGAATTGCCCTCTAAGTTGTTTAAAGTGAATAAAAAACTATGAAACAGAATATAACCTGCAAAGATAAAAAATACATATGCGTATATTCTGATGAGCAAATAAATGTTTGCATGTAATGATTCATACTGCATATTTAAGATTGATAGACAGAATATTGATTGTATGCCTTTCATCGTACATTAAATTCAGAACATCCGTAAAATGAACATCCAATATTTAAAAGAGAGCTGCATGTTACTTTATATAGTAATGAAAACAAGAAATAGGAAAAATATTAATTAAATCATATATTTATAACTGATATATTTAATTTAGGATGATGTGCATGATGTTAAAATGCAGAGTAATACTAGTAGCAACAGTAGGAATCATTTCTGTGTCTAATATTATGCACGCATGGCTGAAATGTCCTGCTTGACATGCAAAATACACCACTGATTTCCAAACATAATAATAGAGGTTATCTCATTCCTGCATACATAGAAAATGTATATAATCCAAAACCGGGCATGTAACATATATATATTTCAATATATGTTAAACTGCTATCACAATCCATTTTAAGCCACAAAGCAGTAATGCAAAACTGGAGTAACTACTTTGCCATGATGGTTCCTCACCATCATACTGGTAAATAGCAGTACAATATATACATAAGCCACATTTGGCAAAATCTAGAATCTGTTTTCTGAGCAATACAATTAAGTAGCATCAATCACACAGGTATGTCTGATCCGTATTTCTCTATAGAATTTAGCAGGGCTTCACTCAATTTCATTCATCAGTATTCTACATGTTTACAATCAACCACAAAAAGCATAAGCAGCAGCCACTACACAGTGATTCGAGTGTATTTTTTTTCTAATGACATTAATAAACAGAAGAAAGCAAAGATAAAAAGCAAAACTAATTATTCCTTGTAAAAATGTACAATTCCTTGTAAAAAATGTATTATTATTTAATGATTGTAATATAAAATATATATTTCTTTTTGTTCCTCTTTAAAAATAGGTATACAAAGACTGCCTATAGCAATCTAATATTTTCAAATGCAAAGAAAAAATAGAAAAAATTAATACATAATTTTTCCAGATTGATTTCTAGACTTTCATGTTGACAGACAGACAGACAAATTCTTCTAATATGCTAAAAATAACCTAAGAGAGAAGAAATGCCAAGCTTACCGGCTTCAGAAAGATCTCTAAGGGAGCTGCTAAGAGCGCTCCTTTTGAGGCCTTCCCCTGTGGCATAGCTGTCATCCAAGCAGGCCCGGTTCAACGTTCCATTGCCAGACTCTTTTTTCAGGCTAGAGCACTGAGACATGTTTGGTCGCACTACACCTTTCTGCTTTTCTAATTCAGCTGAAAAAAGGTAAAAGAGAGTTCTATGATGAATCAAAACCTTTTGTGTAATGTATTCCAGTAGGTTAGAAGTGCATTATTTTGGCCACACAAGCAAGTGGAACTTCTAAATGCTGTGCTATTGCTATCACTCAATATAGATTCTATAACTCCCCCAAAATAAAAATTGTGTCTCTGTCTGTCTGTCTGCCTGCCTACCTATCTTCCCCACATCATGGACATGCTTACTGTTTATTTGTCAATTATATATTTTATTTTGTGTCTTCATTTTATGATACTTATGTATGATAATAACAATTTATGTAGTGCATTGGAGCTGCATTGGTCTCATCACTCTTTCTCAGCCCAATTTACACCTGGGGAGGAGTTGGGAAAGAGACTACTGTACTAGATACACTACCATTCCTTCCTAGAAGTAAGGCAAATATAAATTTAATAAATAAATACATTTGAAAAAGAAACAATTTTAAAACTTGGGACAAATACTGCACTGCAATTCATCAACTGTGTTATACATGACAGGACTTCTGTATGGTGAGAGAAATCCCCACTCAGTTCAATGTAGGGGAATATTCTATGTGCTAAAAATGTCACTTTCCATTTCAAACAGGTGTACCTAGGGAGGTAGTACTGGGGAGATAGTACTACACAACTATTTACAAAACAAAACTCATAGTACCGTACCAATAAAGAAGAATATTTGTAGCTCAGGGTTGAAATGAGGGGTCCTTGGTGCTCTCTGAGCTTGGTTGTTTTCTTGCAGACGTTTACTGATGATGTTACCTACTGTGGGCAATGAAACAACCAAGCTTAGAGAAAACCAAGGACCCTTCATAATTCAAAGTCAATGGCTGGCAGACGTAAAGACTCACCACGTATTGAAACAGCTGAGTCTTCAAGGCTTTCTTTAAGGCCTGCAGAGTTGAGTCTCTTCAGCCTCAGAGAGAAGGCTATTTCTTATAGCAGCAGCACAACACAGAAGTCATGCCTTCTGGGTCATACAAAATGATATTTTAATAGATAGAGCCTAAGCATACTAATCCTAACATAACTTTCTAGATAGGGATGCACAACTCTAGATAAATGGTTTGCAAATATTCAAGCTTTGTGCGATATAGAGCTTTATATAAATATATGTACATGATATGCTTGGATGTATTTATATATGTATTTCTATTAGAGCTGTGCAAAGCACTTGGAAAGAGTGTTTCATGTAATATACAATTAATTATAGGTAGTCTACTGTATCTACCTTTGTACTTACACTCTATTCTGTGTTTTTCCATTTCTTGTACTTCTGCAACAGATTCCCTCAGATCATCTGTAAATTTCTTTCTGTCCTGGGGATTTGGAGCATTGAAATTTATTAAAACTTTGATATCTGCTCCTGGAACAGCTGATGTCAGTCGTATGCCATTTGGATAATCTAAGAGGTAGCAAAAAACAAAAACAGAATACCCCATTTGTATTAATTTCATTTCATTATTTCTCCACAGCTCCATGTATAAAAATATTTCAATATATCAAAGATTTCTCTTACTGCATGAACACTCTCTTTTCCTATTCTTTTCTAAAGAAGACCTTCAGAGATCTTCATACACTGTTCTGTACGTTTCTAGCAAACTAAATCACCATTTCTGACACTAGGTATTTAGCATTCAGCACCTGGAGAGCATAATTTTAGCAAATTTTCCAGTCTGTTTTAATTCCTCCTACAGCAATGCTTTCAATAATGTTTTCATATTTTCAGAATATTAACTTAGAAAGTCTTCAGGAAAATCAGCATAAGGATATCCTACATTTGGGGTACAGACAGATGGAACTACAAGCAATGTCTGTGTAGTGATCGTATCAAAAACTAATATATTCAAGAGACACTGAATGGTCACAAGGAAATTATCTAATCCAACAAGCAAAGTTTGCTCTATTTAGGAACTTGAAGACATGGCTTTGGTATTGGACTGATAATTGTTATTTGGTTTCTACCGTGTTTCCCCGAAAATAAGGCCCTGTCTTATATTTTTTTGAACCCCGAAATAAATGCTTGACTTTATTTTCAGGGAGATGCTATTATTTTGGGCACGTGGAGCAAGATGGGGCTCCTCTTGCCCTCTTGTTTGATTTCCAGCTCTGTCTCCCTAACCCTAACCAGAGGAAATGTCGGGAACGGCTGCACATGTGGTTAAATATTTTTAGGGAGGGCTTATTTTCAGGGGGTGACTTATTTTAGTGCATGTGCTCCAAAGGGCGATTGGGCTTTTTATCAGGGTTTGTCTTATTTTCAGGGAAACAGGGTAGAAGACGTTTTACATTAAGACGCTAAACATTAGCTAAACCCCAATTAGTTGTATTCACAATGCCATTTATAGGTAGTATTTGACCAGTCACTGAGTGAAGTTATGACAGATCTCCCTAGAGCTACTTATGACCCAGTTCCAAAGCTCCTATGGTGGCAACCCCCCCATGGTCATGTGACCATTCTGGGCACTTAACAACTGTTTTGCATTTATGGTTATCTGCAGCTTCCTGTGGTCACATAGACATGAATTCTGGCGGGTTTTTTTTTAACCAGTTTCTGGCATTTATTTCCAATTTCTGGCAAAAAAATGCCATTGAAGAAAATGGGCCCGTTTAATGACCACAGGTAAAAAAGATGTAAAATCAGGCAAGATCATATGGCAACCCACTTAATGACCACCATGAGTTACAATCATTATTTGAGGTCATAATTATTGCTAAACCGAATATCTGTAAAGAAAATGGGCTTAATAGTACTCTTTGCAGCTGCCTCTTGAATAATGCCGTAGATATTCCCAGGCATTTGGGGCCAAATTAAGTGGAGTAAACTTTTGGTTGTTTAATTAATGTGTTCAGTTGCTTTTAAATGCTGAGTCTCCATCCCCCCCCACCCCGTTTATTGTATGTATTGTGCTGTTTGAGTTGGGTGGCCCATAAATCCATTATAAACAGCCTGTATCAAAAGTCAGGCCCTATAGACCAATCACAGTATGTTTTATTTAAATACAATATGTTTAATGCCTATTTAAAATAATTTATAATACATTTTCTATGGAATCTTTTTTTAGGGTCGGACTTTTGTACACCGTGTCTCTGTGTGTGTGTGTGTGTAAAAATAATTGTGGCTACCTTCTGCTTTGACTTATGACCACAATTGAGCCCAGAATTTCTGTCACTAAGCAAGACCTTGTTAAATGAGTTTTGCTCCATTTTACAACCCTTCTTGCCACAGTTGTTAAGTGGATTATTAAGTTAATAACAGGGTTGTTAAGTAAATCTGGCTTCCCCATTGGCTTTGCTTCAGAAGGTTGCAAATGAGCACCGCCATTGTCATAAATATGAATCAGTTGCCAAGTGTCTGAATTTTGATCCCATGAGCATAGGGATATTACAACAGTTGTGAAAAATTGTCATCAGTCACTATTTTCAGTGCCGTTGTAACTTCGAACAGTCACTAAATGAACTGTTGTAAGTTGAGGACTATGTGTATTCAACTGCCATGATTTATATCTCCAAAGATCCAGCTCTCTGGAGAAGGCTCTAATGGTGAGAAAGGTGGAAAGAAATGGAAGAAGAGAACAACCAGAAGCAAGGTAAACTGATTGATAAACTTAATTACAGTAGCAATGAGTGTACCATTAGCTGAAGGAACAGATTAGGGACAGATCATCATGCAGAAAAATTATCTATGTGGTCACTAAGTATTCACAATGCTTTGATGGCTCATCAATCAATCAATCAAACAAGAATTGTATCCAATAAAATGTAATCGCAATATGATTTTAAAAGAAGCAATATCTGAATCCTAAATGAAAGAAACAGAAATGCACAATAATTTTGGACCTGAAAGTTTGGGAATGAAAAGAAAATTATATTTGAAAATAAACAGATCCAAATTGCTCTTGTGAATTTTGCAAGTTTCTAGAACAATAGCTATAAGAAATTACCAATCAAATTTATGGCTAAAATGTTCATGTGATATTTGCAGACATGCCTTCTTCTAAAAAGAAGAATAGCAGAAGAGAGAGAGAGAGAGATGGCAGATACTCAGATTACAGGAGATGGGAAACCTTATCAATTTTGTACAGTTAATAACTATTTTGTTGATTGGCACTACATATCTCATCAGCACGTATGCAAAAACAGGTTACTTTGTCCTGATTATTATGGCTTTATATCAGAGAGGCAATCAAAGGAGAATATGTCGTTAAAATCTAACTTCAAATCTTTCATTGGATTGCTAAATTGCAATGGATACAATTAATTTAAATTGATTTCTGTACAATATAAATGACTCTGCTTTGAAATGGATCAAATGATAATAAATTTTAACTTAAGTGTTCAGGATTATTGTTTCAAATTCATTCTTTCTGCATTAAGTATAATCCAAATCTCTTAATAAACTTAGTTTTTTCAACAATGCTTCTCTGTTAATTTTCATATTCTTATGAAATTGCTGATGGCTGATCTACAACTCAGTTCCAGAAAAATTTTGGATTAAGGAAAGTAGTTAGTTTTTAAGTTTAAACACCATTTAACATAGCTTATAGTGTATGTATTTTTTCTAACAGTGCTGTGATTTACCATCTGGAAAAGATATGGATTACTGTATAAATTCCAAATGTTAATTTTGGAAGCCAGAGCAGCCAATTATTTCCATAATGAGATAAAGATGTTGCATTTATCACATTTTCAATATATATATGAATCATTTCCATTTCCATGATGAGCTAAGATCCCATTATAAAAATACATATACATTATTTTTCTCTATTCCTTTTGTTACTTCTACTTTACTATAGTTTCTTCTCATTTCTCATGTTTTACTTATGGCCATCTTGGAAGTTAGAAAAATGTAGCTAAAAGATACATTCATTCTTAAAATGATTTACAATGAATTTTTAAATCAGATAAATGGACTTACACTGATTCTCAAAAAGGAGAACTTGCATTCCATAGAGGGTAAAGGACTGTCGAAAACTATATGTGACTGAATTTTTCTTCTTTTGAAAAATTTTAGTGACCTAAAAATATTAACAGACAAATAAATAAAAATAAAGCACCATATTATCTAACTAAAATATGAGCAATCTAGCTTTACTTTGTAATACATAACTTTTTGGTCTTAAATGATATAGATCACATTTGGGGACTGCACTTCAGCAAGCATTCTAAATATTATTTTTGTCTCAATGCCATACTTATATAATCAAGGAAAGAGTTAATAAAGATACTCTTGCTAGAATACAGCTGGTTAGGCAAGTCTTTAGCAATAACAACAGTTATAATACCACTAAGAATGCATAGAATTAGGCCATTTTTAAATGGCAAAAATTTCTAGGATCCTATTAGCCTTGTACGTCTAATATTGTTTCAAATTGTAGTAAAACTTTAATGGAGTGGAATGGAGTGTTTAAGAATCCTAATATATACCAATGTATACCATTTTCTCTCATAAGAAAGCAAAATATAATTAATTAAACCCATAATACTCAATTCATTCCTTTTTGTGGGAGATTAATGCTCTTGTACCATTGATGAATGTGAATCATGTTAAGTGTGTGAGAACAAGGTTAACTCACTAACATACATATTGCTTTTAATACCCTGTTTTCCCCAAGATAAGACCTCCCCTGATATTAAGCCCACTCGGGCTTTTGAGCGCATGGCAATAAGGCCAAGCCCTTATTTCAGGGTTCAAAAAAAATATAAGACAGGGTCTTATTTTGGGGGGAACATGGTAGGTTATTTATTTAGTGTATGGCATGTGTTAGCCAGTGATCCCCGAGGTGGCTGGCTGCCTCTGTGAAAGGATTTTTTTCGGGCAGTGTTATCTTTATCCGCGGGATGCCTGAATGCAGGTAGGCAATCAGGGGAGGCTCCTTTCTTGTCTCTCCATTTAATAGGTAAAATGTATTGACAAGCAATTACTTTAGAGGAGAAGGATTGAGTCCAGTCCACCAAGCAGCCTATTGTGAAGATTTCAGAGGTTTTTTTTTTTCTTTAAATATAAATTAAGGGCTTGATGTATACAGCTCTGGTCTGCTAGATTATAGATGGGAACTCTGAGATCCAATTTAGTTGTACATTTGTACCTTATCCACCAGGGCTACGGAAAGGTTTCTTGCTTAATAATGGTTCTTCCTTATAATAAAATAATATAAATTATGTGGCACATACCACAAGAAGATCATTAAATAAAAATATTTCTCGCTGGTGTAATCCAAGCTTCTGAGGTTTATTTGGATCTGGAACTTCAAAAAGCCTACAGTAACAAACTAGTCGCCGATGTGGGAGAGACAGAACCTATAAATTGGAAACAAAAATGCAATATATTATAACCGATTTCCCTGAAATTTATAAGGCTGCTCCTTGCAAATAATACTTGCAATTTATTTTTCTCTTTCTTGAACTGAATCCTTTATAGAAAACACTAATCAACTCCATTTGTATAACAGAAATATTTTATTAGATTAGTGATTCAGTTTTTTCAATGTACTAACTAGAATACTGTACCAAATAAGTATATAATATTCAAGTTTATAAAGGTCAGTTTTCTAAAATTATGGTGAGATCTGCTTACTGAATATAAAAATATGAAAGCAAACACTTACACAACCAAGCCCATGATGTAGAGATCCAATCTATGGTAAAAGACACAAAAAATATAATTAAACTTCAGAAAAACATAATATTGTACCTTATCAAGCAAATATTTCAATCTGATTATGATTAAATGTATATAAAATAAATGTTTTTATAATATTGATTGTAGAGATTGTACACATCATCACCAAAAGACTGTTAGAAATATGAAATAATTGAAAACTTGAATTATACAACTTGATATATTTGCAGTGTTTTTATTTGTTCTACTTTTGAAGTGGCATTTTTAGTATTTATGGCAATAGCGTCTTGGCAGAATCATCTTGGCTTGAAAAAAAATGGTATCATAATACATGATGAGCTGCTTGTTCATCTGAGCTATACCAAAGATAGACAAACATGGACATTTCTTTAAAGCTTCCTTCCATTCCAAAAACACAGGGCAAATTTCTTGTTATTAGCATCTTTGTGTTGGTCAGGTAAAGTTTATTTAATGAGGTAGAAATAATTTTTATTGCTTTTGTTTCCTACACGTAGAAGACCTAAAACTATTTTGTAGCGGAACAGAATGGAATTTAAAAACAACAACAACAACAACAACTTAAAAAGATAATAGATCGAGTTTCAACTCAGAGGAGAAGCCGTTATTGCAGAGAACCAATTATATACTTTCAAAGCAAAATATCTGCATGTAGAAAGAGTGCAGAGAAGAGCAACAAAGATGATTAGGGGACTAAAGGCTAAAATATGTGAAAAACAGTTGCAGGAATTGGGTATGACTGGTTTAATAAAAAGAAGGACTAGGGATGACATGATAGCAGTGTTCCCTGCTATAGGATTCCCTTAGGTTTGGACTAGAAAACCTCCAAGGTCCCTTCCAACTCTTATTCTTTTATTCTGAAAGCTCACTTGCTTGATGCCAGCTGGTAAAGTCATTTAAGCTCCATGGACAATTAAGTGATAGCAGGAGACAGTTCTAATCATTTCAAACATATATTATTTATCTTTCCTGATATAATTAATTGCAAAGAGCTTCAACAGAAGCACCAGCTATATCATCTAGAAATTCCCTGAAGACAAGCTAGACCAGGGCTGTCAAACTCCTGGTCCATGGGCCGGATGAGTCACATACTGGCCATGCCCATGCCTGGTTTAGCGAAGGGGGAAAAAGTCCCAATATGTGATATGATGCCGCCATAACGATGTGAGTCTGACACCCCCAGGCTAGACCATTTTTCTAGGACTAGGGGACATACTTTTTACATCGGTGCTGCATTTTGAATTTCAATGAATGTAATGAAAAAGAACCATTTCTTTCATTTTGCCAAATTTTCAAAGAGAAACCACAACCCTCACTCTGTGCTTCCCTCATTAATTCGTCTCTAATCTTTCTCCCTGTTCCCATGGACAGGAAATGCAACAATATAATATTTTAGAATAACTGCAACTTGACATATCTTCAGAAACCAGACAAAGGCTAGTTAACTATGGTTTGTTGAAACTAGCTAATTTCAAATCATTATTTAGATTAACTGGGGGAAATTTAACTAAGATTTAAAAGGCCATTGTTAAAGGATTGTTTATCAACAATCAATCAAATCTCAAGTCGAAGTGAAAGCATCCATCAAAGGCAAGCCAGAGGAGAAAGAAACACACAATTCTAAAGCTTCCTCTTGCTCTTTTTTATAAAGCTGGACTTTTAGCTGTCCCATTCAGACTCAATCATTCTTTCAAAAGCCAGGAAATCCAAATCCTGCTATATGTAAAAGTATTGTAATAAGCTACCAGTACAAGGTTATTCAATTTTCTTCAATTTTTTTACTTTATGATTATAAACATACTATGATTTTTTAGAAGACTCTCATTGTCCTGGAATATTCTGGCAACATTCTGAGACAATCCAGTCTAACTTTATGCATAATATTTATCCATAAAAGAAACTTACCGGCTTTTTCCCTACTATGAGTTTTTCAACCTTTTGGACCTGTGACACATGATCCTCATTGGTCTTGAGTTCCCGTTTTCGGATTCTCTCATAAATCCCAATGAGCATCTCTCGTGGAATATCTTCACCATCATCTACACCTGGAAAAGTGATTGTGATTATTGCTGATTAATACATGTGCCATCTTTGCACTTTCATTATATTATCTTTCATATAATTCCAAACCAAAGATTGGATACTACTAGTCACCTTGTAGAAGAAATTGGTGGCACAGAACTTTAATAAATAAATAAATATGTCTGGAATATCACCCACAAAACAGGTCCTGGCTGCTAATATTACCATTATGCCAATTAAAGTCTGAATTTCTCTATACCATACTACAAACAGCCATTTTGCAATGGAAAAAAAAAAGGCTTAAAGCTCATTGATATGGTAACATTTCCATTGTTAACTAGAAATAGGCAAATGAGGTGTTCCATTCACACATAATTATTGACTGTGAAGCTATAGCAATTAACAACTCTAAGAACATAAAAACCCATTTATTTAAGACTAATGGTACATCTTGCCTAGTAATCTGAGCCTTTGCAAAAACCTGAAGAAAATATGGAGACAACAGCCCCCTCTCAATTGATTTCTTTTAAAAGTAGTTATTATTTAGGGTCCAATAAACATGATTATTTGATCCTGTCCCAGAAATGATATAAAACAGAAATAAGTACCATATGATAGAAGAAAATATTTGTAAATCAGGGGTGAACAGCAGAGTCCTTAGTGCTCTCTG